ATAGTTGCTCTTCCAACCATCAAGCTTTTCCTGGAAATTAGCAATAATCGGATCCCAAATTGAGATAGCATTTGGTTTAACACTAAGTGGGTATACGAGATACTTAGGTGGGTTCCTGCTCCATTTACAACCAAAAATAACAGCGTAGAAGCTCGGTTCAGGCACATCTCCGATAGTATACATGATAGATTTATCAAGGTTAATCTTCAGTCCAGTTACCATTTGAAAGCAGACAAGAGTAGATAGAATGTTGATAACTTGCTCATGAGAAACATCACAGAAGATAAGGGTATCGTTTCCAAATAAGAGACGAGTTACCTCGCCACGTTGGTGAAGATCATCCATAAAGAATCCATTGATCATCCCCGCTGTCTTCAGTCTAGACAGCATAAAAGAAAGGATGTCCATGACAAGAATGAATAACGCCGAGGAAATGGGATCTCCTAGGCGGAGACCTTTAGAAGCAGGGAAAAAACCGTGAGCCTCTCCATTGATCAAAACAGAGATAAGAGGGGAACATACAACACTCTGGATCCATCTGAGCCACAAATCTGGAAAACCAAGCCTCTTCAAAACTTTGAATATACTGAAAGAGGATACTGCAACGCTAAGTGATGAAAATCAAGTTCTGAAGAAACTAAATGATAAATCCAAGAATAATAAAATTATTGAAGAGTTAGAAGAATTAAGAATTAAAAATAACGAGCTTGGAAAAATGGTAATAGACTCTAAAACTAAAATTCTAGAAGCAGATACTAGGACATAATGATTAGAAGGAAAACATAAGGAAAAGGCTCAAAAGCCTCAAAATAAAGATGTTTTTCCACCCAATGACATTAGTCTTCCCCTATAGGCATGTCACTTTTCATCTTAGTTTGAATCATTGAGTCTAGTTATCATCACTTGATCTAGGAAGGCTAGTGTAGTGATTATGAATGATGTAATAGTAAATGGGATGTAATGACCATTTGATGTGTTTAAGTGTCATATTATGTGATCTATTTAAAGACTTCTGATTATGCAAAAGAGTCTCTAGCTTTTCAAAATTTAAAAGGGTGAATTGAACCTTTAGAAAATGCAAAATTTCTTCCTATCAAGACATTGTTTTATTCCAAAATTTGCCATGCTAATAAAGTGTGGGGTAAAAAAAACATGTGAGGCATCTTTTCATTTCACTAAAATGGGGTTTTGAAAGAGATACTAGTTTAGCTTTAGTGGGGTAGTCCTACAAGGTGATGATAGTTCCTCTCTAAGACAAGTAAAATTTTCACCCGTCGAATTGAGTGCCGACTTGAGTATGTGTTCTTAAGGGCTCCGACACCCCTTAATTTCATTGACCCTCCATATGAGTTGAGGAAAAGGAACTTTTAAGTTCTTGCTCGACTAATAAGAGTAAAGTTCAAAAGAGCTCTCCACCATCAGTAAAATCAAGAAAAAAAAAATAAAAAAAAAGTTGGTTGAGTGGAGAAGAAAATTTCAAAAAAGAGATTGAATTTGATAAAGGTGCTTCAATGTAATGTCAAAAGGATGGTAGAAAGCATTTGAAGTTTAAATGGTTATCAAAAGTTTCACCCTTACGTTTTGAGACTCTCATGCATGATTAGTAATTGATGTATGGATTGTGTGCTGTGATATTCTTGCATATTGATGTAATAGAGTCTCTCATGCTATTATTGACCTTGTAAGTTGCTTATGATCCATTACCTAAGATCAGAGTTGATTGATGATGATTGTATGTTGTGAATAATGTTTGCTTGGGGACAAGCAAAGTTCAAGTGTGGGGTATTTCTTATGACACTTTATTTATAGTGTTTATCACTCCCATTCTTGATACATCTTCCCCTTCTATCAATTCATCTTTAGTCATTTCAATGATATTTCTTGTCTAAATCTCAACTATTTGATCAATGAGCTTTTAATAGTCCTAGGATGTGTTCTTGTGCTCTTTGATAGCTCTTTGATATATTTTATGATTTTGAAGGTACAAAGCAACCTAAGGAAGTAATGATTATTGGATCAAACATTGAAGAACTCTGGAAGACCAAATGAGCTATAAAGAGAAGGTTAAATTGACGGGAAGTCAACTACAAGTTGGTACATTATCACAAACAAGCCCATATGAAGAAGACTCGACCCATTCGAACAAAGAAACATGTGGCGGCTCAAGCATCGAGTCCAACCGCCGTCACATGAAACATCATAAGTTGTGACCAAATCGTGAGGAGACGAAGTCCATGGACCAAGAAGCTAAGCCAATTAAGAAAAAGAGCAACGGGCCCGACCGTCGCTACGTTGTCGCTTTTGCCTGGCCTTGTTGAAGAAGTTTACGTAGTCTACAAGGTTTTGAAGACTCTTCCCTAGTAAGTTTAGGTTGTTTTAGGACGAGATATTCCCTTATAAATAGAGGGCATGACTCTCTAGCTTAGTAAGGCTGCAAAAACACACAAAATTCTCTGTAACACTTAACTTGGGTGATACCCTAGTCAAATTTGATTGTATTAGTATGTGATCTGGATTATTATATGAATGCATGCTATAATTTCATCTCATGCTTGTGTTTATATATGAGATTTTCGATGCCTATTACTATTTATGGATGCTTTTTATATTCGATGCTTATGATGGTCATTGATATTTCTACAGTATTATCATTGATGCTTATGATTCTACTGTACGTTATTATATGCATTATGCATAGTATTGCCTAGATTTGGATTCTTTTGTACAAAATTGGTGGACTCCACTAATTTTGGAAACCCACATAATTTGGTTAGATTTAAGAGAATGAACCAAATCTTTGATACTAAGTGAACTAAACCTTCATAAAATATTAATCCAAACAACAATTTTCTTGAATCTCAAATGAACCAAATCCGTCACCAGTTCTTCATTTTTCAAATCCCGGGATTTAACACATACCTTTTCTAAAATCTTTGAAGGTAGGGGTGGAAATCAGTATGATATTGATATCTTGGTACCAAATATCGAACTGTGTCCTTAAATCAATCCCGATCCCTAAATAAATTTGGTATCTCAATCTCAATATATTTCGGTACGATATCAATATTCTTGAATACCAAATAAATTATCTTTGTAATTAATAATTAAATATATACATAAAAAATTAATAGTTTGAACACCTCTCGGAACCTTTTTCTGTAAGCTTCTAGGTTTTATTGCATGATTGAAAACCTTGGTGATCAGAAGTTAAGGTGAGGAAGTTTAAGAAAACTAATAACAGCCCCCATTATTCAATTGAAGTCTCTATTCAATGGATTCATCGGAGGTTCTTATTTGGGGTTACGACGTAGGGTGGGAATCAGTTGCGGTTTTGCGGTTAAAATGCTAACCGTACCGAAACCACGTGGTTAGTGGTTAATCGCAAACTGAAAAATAGGATATTTTACGGTCGTTGTTAGCAATATTCCATGTTTTATGGTTTATGGGTCGATTGCAACCACAACCGAACAACATGTAATCGCATTTTAACCGAGTACTGACGCGGTTGACCGCGATTAGTGCGTTTAACTATGACACAGTGACATAACCATAGACCAAAATGTCCACAAACCATTAGAATGGTTAGTAACGCGGTTAAACGTTACCGCACTTTGCGGTTAGTGGTTAAACGCAAACCATTTGCGGTGCAGTCATGATTGGCGTATATGGCTCTGTTTCGGTTGCGGTCCCTAGTTACGAGACTAAGTAAAGGGTCTCAACTTTGCCTAAAGTTAAGGTAGAGACAAGGAGAAGAGACAAGATTGTGATATCTCAATTTTTTCTCTTGGTAATCTTTGATTCGATGGACTGAGGTTGAGAAAAAACTTATGATAATGTATTTTTTGGTGTCATGAAAATAACAAGATATTTTACCGTAGAAAATAACAAAATCGAGATTGACTGGGAGACAAGAGTGACCTATGATAACTTGGAAGCTAAGCATAGATTGGATGGGGGCCTGCGAGTTGTCAACGAGTGAGAAATGTCATCTTCGTATTTTGATATATACCGATCCTAATATGAAATACCGAGTAATATCCTAAAATCAATCCCCATCATAATTACTAAAAAATAATAAGAGCACATTGAAATTGCATTTTGAATTGCATTATGACATTGTCGCAACCGCCCCTCCGAAATCGGGGGACCTGCTGCGATAAGCTCGGAGTCGCCATAGACCGTGCTTTGGGGTGGGTCGAACACCCATTTCCGGTTTTAATTTTTGTTAAAACCAGAATTCTGGTCTGCGAATTTTAGATTGTTGTAGGTTCGGGAGTACGGTTACATGTGGGGAAGTGTATTCACACCCCACAACGCCCCAAATGGGTACTACTTAAATCGATAAGTTTTTTAAGAATTGGGTGTATTATCATTTGCGGATTTTTTGATGTATTTAATTTATGATTTGATTGTTTTTGATATTTATTAATATACGATTCGATCATTACGACTATTGACGTAAATCTCGAAAGGTAAAGAAAGGGTTTTATAATTAGTTGGACTCGAACCTATTGGTTGCCTACGTACCCGACTTAGTCGGGATCAAAGTCCACGTAGTTCGTTCTTTTGAGCTATTTTGAAGAGGAACCCTAATAATGTTTGAGGTTTGAGATAATTATGTGAGTTTCTCGAGGTATGTTTGGTAATTGAGTCGTTGGTAATTTGAGTGAATTCTAATATATGATAAAAACACACGTTCTACTAATATGTGGTTTCATATTAATGGTTATGTTTGCCAAAATGTAATTAGATGAATGAGTATGACATAACAAAGGAATAAAATAGATTATGTGTGTTGAAAGGAAAGTAGACATATAAGTGATTTTGGTGATTTTCGTATTAAGGATATCTAAAAATAAAAATTAGTAAGTTAATTAAATGGTAAGTTATAGCAAGGTGGCCAGAGGTAATTTTTATGAAATTGGGAAGGTAATTAGGTCTTTGGTGGCCTCGTCTCACCTCACTTCCTCTCTCTTGGTTTCTCTTCTTTTCCCCTCTGTACGCACCCAAAAAAAAAAAAAAAAAAGAAAGAAAGAAAGAAAGAGAAGGGCCAGCGCCCTTTCCTTCTCTTGATCTCTTCTCTTCCATCTTCTGTGCAAGAACTCGTCAACGGGAAGGCGAGTAGGCGACACCCCTCCGTTGATTTCCCTTCTCCTTTCCTCTGTACTGGCAGTGGAAAGAAGGAAAGAACAGAGGAACGACGACGAAAGTGGCGAGAAAGACGGCGAGTATCGATGCCGGAGTTGATGACGACGGCGACGAAGGTGGTCGGAGTCGGAGCAGGTATCCTTGGGTTGCATGTCGGTTTTGGGGGTTGATTTTGTTTCTTTTGGGTTCTGATTATTTTTTTGTTTATGTGAATCAGGCGAAATCCAGAGAAAACGTGGAAGCGAAACTTCGATCGGACGGTAAGTCGCGATTTGGGGCTCGTATGCTCTGTTTTTTGTTTGATTCCAATTTGGGGTTGTTTTAATATTTGGGTTTAATGTTTTGTTTTTCTGGGTTTTCGATGATGGTGAGGGAAAGGAGGAGGTGTGAACGGAAAGGCGAGGAAGGCCGCCGGGAGCCCTGAGTTTCGTCGGCGGCGAGAATGACGACGAAGGTTAAACTTCCTTTTGGTGAGTTTTTTTATTTTTGGATTATCTCGTTTGCTTGGTCGACTCTAAATTAACTTCCGTTTTTTGCAGGTTTGAGAACTAGAATAGAATGGCTACTGCTTTCAACTATGGTTTGATTTAAATTTAGTGTTGATGATTTGGAGTTTTGATTTAGTCGATTTGATATTTGATTTATGGTCGTGAAAATTTCATTTAGAACTGTGGTGTTGGACTTAGAACCACAAGAAAACACTCAGAATTACGGTTCAAGTTTCAGAATTTTTAAACCGAACAAAGTGGAAAATGAACTTTAAAAGACCATAAACACTGCTATTGCTTGTTGTTACTTTGTCTTTCGTTGATTTAGTTTCAAATTTGGGTTTTGAGTTTGTGATGGATGAAATATGGGGTTTGCTATGGTTAGACATGAGCCCTTAAAACCGAGAGAGCTATTCTAAAATAGCTTCATATATTCGAGTCTAATAAGTCTTCGAGTTCGTATTAGCTTATTATTATTAGCCGAATCTACCTTTGCTTATGGCATGAGTTGGATGTTAATTTAGCATTTATATATATGGGGAGTACAATAGACAAAACTGAGAAGAGGGAAACAAAGATAAAATTGCAGATCTAACTCTTGCTTGTAATGAGCTTAAGCATGGAAGTATTAAAATGACAAGATGAATTAGGCGTGGGCAACAGCCTTAGATGGAAAGCAATAAATCTGATGTGTTGGTTACTTTGCTAATATGGTGAAGTATGTCATCTTTTATTTTGCTTGGAGTGGATTCAGTATCATTGCTTTTAAGATTTGTTAGAGTCAGATTGTAATTTGACTGTGATTGACTGAGTTTGGTGCCTTTTTAAATCAATTTGGTCATTTGTAGTTTGATTGGTGGTAGATTGAGATTCCTCTTTTATACAAAATCAGTATGCCAGTGTTTGCTTGGAATTGATTGATTTGTTTTTGAGAAAACCTTAGATAACTAGCCTTAGATCCGGTGATGCAAATGATGATGATGGAAAGATGAAAAAAAGATTTAGGATACCCACCTGTTCGTGTAGTTTGGGGGAGGGGATGAAGCTGTTTTCCTCTGTCTTCGCTTGGTTTGACTGCTGGAAACTTATTGCCTCTTGTGGTGGGTCTTTTTGTGTGTAAGAAAAGAAGAAGGATGTTTGCTGTAGAGTTGCCGCCGCTCTCTGGCTGCTGCTGTCTTTTTTTCTTTTTTTGTTGTTGATGCTTGGTAACAAGAAGAAAACGTGGTATGGAGTCTTTTCTGTCTTTGACTGCTCTTTCGTTATGATGGTGACGTTTGTACGAGAAAGAAAGAGAGGAGGTAGAAGAAGGTTCCTCTTCTTTTGTATATTCTGTGAGTATTTGTTAGAGCCGAAGGGGAAAGAGGGAAGTCTATCTGTTCAGTTTTTGAGCTTAGTTATTTGTCTGTGTGTGTTTAGCAGGGGAAATGGAAGGCGTTGGGAAATGATCAAGAGAAGAAGAAGAAGAAGAAGAAGAAGAAGAAGAAGAGAGGAGAGGGGGTCTGCTCCATGTCCCTTTCCTGGTTTGTGGGTTTTCTTTTTGTTGTCTTTCTTCCTCTCTCTCTTTGTGCAAGAACCGAAGATGAAAAGAGGAAGAGAAGATCTGTAGGAAGAGAAGAACCCTCTGTTTTTTTGTTTTCGTCTGTCATAAGAGGTCCATCTCCCCCCCTTTGTAAGAGCCATGGGGCTCCCTTTTTATAGGAAAAATGGCTACTTGTGCGCCAAGTTTTGCTACAGTAGTGGTCTGGATTTGGGTCTGACCAGTTTGGGTTTGGTCAGACCTGATTGGGTTGGCTGACTTTGACTTTTGTTGACTAAATTGACCGAAAGTTGACTATGCCTTGATTTATTTTATTGTTGTATTTTGTTTGTAAAATTTAATGGAATAGCATTGTGATTGTGATTTTTATTTATATTTGATTTAATTCGAATTTAGTTTAATAATATGTTTATTTATCTTTTCTTAATTCGAATATTTTTATTGCTTCAAAATCAAAGTACAATCCTCACCCCGTCCAAAATCGCAAGAACCAATTCATCAAAGATCAATTCACAAATTGCCTAATTCGTCAAATCAAAGCAACACAACTCAACTCAACTCTTTCACTATCAATTATATTGGTCGAGATTTACTATTGCTTAATTTCGTCAAGTTATGGCAAAAATAAAAAAAAAAACCCATCACAAGCACTACAAATATCACAAACACTACATTTAAGATTTGCTATTGCAAACTTTAAACAAAACACTAAAATTATCTAATTAAATATATGTTCTAGCCCGGACAAAAAGTGGTGTCTACAGACATCACATTCATTTTCAGTTGCATTGATGTAGATGACATTGCATCTTTGCAAGCTTGCATCTAATGCAATTATGGAATGGAGGCAACATTATTTTTGTTATTATAAATTGTTTTTATACCTAAGTGTTTATGCAATTATAATTAAATTTAAAAAATCAATTGCAAGTTAATTGTATTGATGTTGAACAAGTAAAGTAATATGAGTTGGATTAAAAAAAATTGAGGTGCCAATAAAAAGCATAACAACAATTGCATTTGTATAAATTCTCTAATACCAAATAGTGATAAATTTGGTATGATATTTTAACATACGGTGTACAACGGAAAATGGAGGGTCATGCTGGATGCGTTAAAGGAAAGGAGGATGGTAAATTGGCGAACAAGAAGGGCTCAATATTGGTATCTAAAGGGAAGTCTGCAGTAGTGGAGGGGCAAGCTACAGATAAAAAGATTCAGTTGGGCAAACCCATAAAGGAGTGGCGGGCTGTAGGCCAGCGGGAGGGTATAGTTAATCAGGCCCAGCCCAACGAAGCCTCTGCGTCTAATTCAGATCAGAATATACTTATGGGCCAGGAAAATAAGACTACAAGGATGGAATTAGAAACCCAAACGGTTGTGGGGAAAAACAACACTACAATACACCTGATCTCTGTTCCTCCCTTAGCAACGAATCTGAAAGAAAACAGGGACCCTAATGTTACTTCGACTACCTCTGTTAGGCAGCACTACAGGAAGAAACAAGCTAATCATTCTCCCACAAAGGATTCCAATAGAGGCATCAGCCTCAGAGCAGCTAAGAAGCATGTTCATGTGGCTATCAATAAGCGAGAGCTTGCCAATAAACTGAAGGAGGCAGCTTTTCCGGTGACTATCAGCGCAATCGAAGATTTCATCGCACAATCGCAACAAAAGCAAAGTGATTTCGCGCCGGCCAAGGAAGAAAAAACGGGCGATGTCGATATGGTGGAAAGTCTAGGAGATACTCTCTCAAATACCCTGTCGGCGAACAGAGAGCCAAGCAGTGACCCAACTGCTAATACTTGATCTTGGCTTTCGATTTTTTGGATTGGTTTCGTTCTCTTCTTTTTGTTTGTTTATAATGTCAGTTTTTGCTAACTTAAACTTTAAAGTTCTTGCTTGGAATGTTTGTGGTGCAGGAAGTAAGGAGTTTAGGAGGTCTATCAAGTTCTTAGTAGACACCTATAATCCGCATTTTCTCATTCTTCTTGAGCCCCAAATCAGTGGAGACAGGGCTACGACGGTCTGCAGCTGGTTGGGGTTTCCAGAGGTTTTTCGGGTGGATGCCGAGGGTCGGAAAGGAGGGATTTGGTTGGCTTGGAAGCCAGATTCTTTTCAAGCTCAACTCATTGATGCGAGCCGACAGCATATTACTGTTAGGGTCTCCAGCAATTCTATGCCATATTGGATTCTCACGGCAGTTTATGGGAGTCCAAATTACAAGTATCACTCGCTTCTTTGGGATCGACTTCGTTCAACGAGTGATTGTTTCAACATCCCCTGGCTGGTCACTGGCGATTTCAACGCCTTCCGACTTCCATCTGAGAAAACTGGCTCGATTTCATCTACTACTCTTCGGCGATGTCAACGTTTTTCTAATTGGATGGATGCTGCTAATCTGATCGACTTGGGGTTCTCAGGGCCACGCTATACTTGGTTTAGAGGGGTGACTGAGAGTAATTACAAAGCCAGTAGAATTGACCGGTCTCTGTGCAATGATAGTTGGAACCAGGCTTTTCCAAATAGCACGGTGCAACATCTGCCAAGGCTTTATTCCGATCATCTCCCGGTGCTCACCTCCAATTCTCCTATCCCTCTTTCCAATAGCAATAATAAGCCCTTTCGGTTTGAGGCAGCTTGGCTTCTACATGATCAGTTTATGGACTTTTTTGCAGGAACGTGGAAAAGTGACCTGGATCTTCAGCAGGCACTTAAGGACATTGCCCCCAAACTGCAACACTGGAACAATACGGTATTCGGTATTCTTCGCCACCGAAAGAGAAGGCTTCTTTCCAGGCTTCATGGAGTTCAAAGTAGACTAGCTGAGCATTTCAACAGGGGGCTTGTCAAACTTCAAGCTAAGCTGGAGTCGGAGCTCGATTCTCTCATTGCCCAGGAAGAAGTTATTTGGTATCAAAGGGCCAAAGAGAAATGGGTGAAGCTCGGTGAGCAGAACACTTCATACTTTCATCAACAAGCTACCATTCAACGTAGAAGAAATAAAATTCTCTCCTTGCGGGACACGAATGGGGTTTGGATTGATGATCCAGTTAAACTTTTGGATCTGGTGGTGAACTTCTTTATCACTCTATACACTCAAGATGAGCCACAATATCAAGATCTGATGCCGAAGAACAAGTTCCCCAGATTGTGTCAAGAGGAACTTCTTACCTTGCTGCGCCCCTTTAACATGTCCGACATCCACAACGCAGTATTCGGCATGAAATCTTTCTCGGCGCCTGGGCCAGATGGTTTTCAAGCGATTTTCTATCAGAAACTCTGGGGATCAGTGGGAAGAAGTCTAACTAACATGGCGACTTCTTTCTTTGAGACAGGTGTTCTTCCTCCCGAAATGCTGGAGTCCACCATTGTGCTCATTCCCAAGACGGACCAACCAGAGTCACTTGCTCAGCTTCGCCCTATTTGTTTGAATAATGTGGGCTTAAAAGCGATTACCAAGGCCATTACCAATCGATTAAAGCCTCTTATGAGAAAGCTAATAGCTCCAACGCAGAGTGGCTTCATTCCTAGACGGCAGACAAATGATAACATTATCATTTTGCAAGAAGTTCTGCATACCCTTCGGAAGAAGCAAGGAAAAAAGGGTGGGATCATTATTAAAGTGGATCTGGAAAAAGCCTACGACAGGCTGCGGTGGGATTTCCTCCGAGACACTCTGATTGAGATTGGTCTTCCAAGCACCTGGATTGGCAGAATCATGTATTGTGTCGAGCACAATAGCATGAGGATCAATTGGAACGGGCAACAGACGGATTCCATCACTCCCTCCAGGGGAGTAAGACAGGGAGACCCTCTTTCCCCTTACCTTTTTGTTTTGTGTATGGAGAGATTGGCCCATCGTATTGAGCAAGAAGTCAATAATAAACGTTGGAAGCCTATCTCTCTCTCCCCCAAATGGACCTAAACTGTCTCATCTATTTTTTGCAGACGACCTAATCCTCTTTGCGGAAGCCGAACACAACCAGATTGATGTCATTAGAAGATGTCTCGATGATTTTTGTGCAAGCTCAGGCCAAAAAGTAAACCTTTCAAAGTTTGCCATGGTGGTGTCAGCCAATATTAGCCGTCAAAGAGCTCATCAACTCAGTGATAGAGCAGGCATACCTTTAACCAGTGACTTGGGCAAGTATTTGGGCATAAATGTGATTAATGGGCGGGTTACGAGAGCAAGGTACAAGGAAATCTGCCTAAAAATTCAAAAGAAGCTTGCTCTATGGAAAACACGTAATCTCTCTTTGGCAGCCCGAGTTACCTTGGTGAGATCAATTTCAACATCTATGGCCATCTACCCTATGTTTTCAGAATCACTGCCGGTGTCTGTTTGCAATGTGATGGACAGGATTAATCGACAGTTTGTGTGGGGTGAAGAAGAGGGTCGAACTAAATTCCACCCTATAGCTTGGGATCAACTAACTCTACCTCGCATCCAGGGTGGAGCAGGAATCAGGCCAACTCGTGCTACCAATCAAGCTATGCTGGCAAAAGGCAGCTGGAGACTAGTTACCGACGATAACACTCTATGGACAGAAGTGATAAAGAACAAGTATGCCCGCTCGAGAGACGGTTTGGAAATCCTCAAACAAAGTAAAGGGAAGTTCTTTTGCTTGGCGTAGCTTTGCCTCTGTCTTAGATGTGATCAAGAAAGGATATGTGTTTAATATCTCTAATGGTAGAAGAGCTAAATTTTGGGTGGATCCGTGGGTTTTGCAGGTTCCACTAGCAGAGCTTGCTGTAACGGAGATTGACGCGGACAAACTGCACAGCAGGTTGGCGGACTACTGGGATGCAGATCAGGGGTGGAAAGTGGAGGAGTTCGAGTCTGTGCTGCCATCGAGCATCGTCACTAAAATCAGAGCTGGCATGATAGCGCAAAGTTGGGTGGTTCAACTTGTTCACACGTACAGGGAAGGGAATAGAGTCGCGGACTGGCTCTCGAAGCACAGTCTCGTCTATCCCTTCGGTACGCATGAACTAGATGAACCCCCAACCAGGCTTCTTTCGATGCTGCAGGATGATGTTCGGGGAGTCAGCTTCCCGCGGCAGGTTGTGGAAAATAGTTAGATTTGTTTTGTCCCTGTTTTTGCTGCCTGCTTCCGGATCTCTGTTCGGCTGATCCCTTGTAACTCTCTCGGCTGTTTTGTTTAGCCTCCACTTAATAAAAAAAAAATCTAATGCAATTATGGAATGGAGGCAACATTATTTTTTTATTATAAATTGTTTTTATACCTAAGTGTTTATGTAATTATAATTATATTTAAAAAATCAATTGCAAGTTAATTGTATTGATGTTGAACAATCAAAATAATATGAGTTGGATTAAAAAAAATTGAGGTGCCAATAAAAAGCATA